TAATAGACCGCCAGGGACCTGGATCACATGGCCAAGGGAGAATAGAGACCAGCTAGGATTAGGGAGGTAAAACAATGGAGGGCTAGGCTAGGTTAAGGGTAACAGAATTGGGAGATGGAGTGTAGCTTGGCCAGTTGATGGGATTATAGCCTCAGGCAAACACCAGAGATTTGGCCATGTGGGAAAGTTCAGGGTTTTTCCTTTCTGGGGTCCAGATCCCAACCCCAAAGCTGTATACAGGAAAAGTGATGGATTTGTAGTCAACCTGAGTTTGAATCCTAGGTCTGACATGATTTAGCAGTGGTCAAGTAAGTCAAATGAGGTCCTGCCATCCCTTCAAGCTATCATCCTGAAGAGGTGGGGGGGTTTTGGGGTGCTCCTAGATGCACAGAGGCACCCCGAGATCGCAGGAAAAAGCCCCAGATCGCGGCGCTGAATCTGCCTGAATGAATTCAACCCAGATCTTCTTCCAGCCAGAGGAAAAGTTTATTAAAGATAAAGCATATAGGCCAGACTCCCGAGGAACGCAAACATCAGTGATCTAAATGGGGGTCTGAATGGAGGAGGCCAGGTGACGCTGGTAAGTATGAGCAGGCTGAGGCAGTCTCAGCCTCTTGGGCGTGAGGAACGCTCAGCTTCTAAATGGGGGCTGGGGGCTAAAGAGGCCAGGTGATGGCCATGAGGACAAGCAGGCATGGGAGTCTCAGCCTCCAGGCTTGAGAAATTCCCAGCGTCTGAATGGGGGCTGGGGTGAAACTTAAGTACAGAAAGACTAGGGGAGGGGTCTAGGAGTGGCCAAGCAGTTTGGAGTGACAGGAGGAGGGGTCTAAGGAGATCTGGATGGGAGTGGCTAGTAAACTGGGGTGACCTGGGTCCTGGACCTTGTGACACCTAGCTAGGATTAAGGGTGGGATCTGGATGGGAGTGGCCAGCAAGCTGGGGTGAACAGAACTCCTGGGTCCTGGACCTTGTGGGCCTAGCTGGGATTAAGGGTGAGAAGTGACCAAAGGCCATAGGAAGGTGAAACAATGGAAGGGAGATTGGGTGTAGCCACAATGCAAGGCCCGTTGAAGCAGGGAGGTGATTGAGGGGAAGGGTCCAGGTGAGAATTTCAGTTTGGAATGTCTGAGAGATCTGAACAGACAATGAGAATAGATAATGAAGGGAGCTGAAAGGGGGGGAAGTTTGCTCTCAAAGGGAAATAAAAGCAGTTTCTAAAAGTTTGAGGTTTTCCTGGGACCGGTAGACAAACTGAAGCCAGGTTCTTTTTGGGGTCAGGAAGGAGAGCGCATTTGAATAAGATTTCAAAGAGAGAATCTAAAAGTTTTAAGGTTTTTCTGGGAATTGCAAACAAAGGAGCCAAATTCCTTTTGAAAAGGGGCAAAAAGGGAAAAGAGGCAAAGGTAAACCTCTTCAATCCTACATCTCTTCTCTGGAGCTGTCCTAGAAAAAGCTGTCTACACTTATTGCCTCCACTTTCTCAGATCCCACTCACTTCTCAGACCCTTGCAATCTGGCTAGCAACCTCATCCCCCATTTTGTGCTCTCCAAGATTACCAATAATCTCTTAATTGACAAATTCTATGACCTTTTCTCAGTTTTCATTATTCCCAACATTTCTATAGCATTTGACACTGGTAACACCCACTTTTCCTGGGTACTCTTTCCTTCTTAGGTTTCAGTACTGGTGCTCTCTCCAGCTTCTCCTCCCAGCTGTCTGATAGCTCCTTCTCAGATGATTACGCTGGCTCATCATGAGTGAATCCCTCTTTTTTGGTTATCTCATTAATTCCAATGGGTATTATCTCTATGCAGACAGTTAACAAATCTATATATTCATCTCTGAACTCCATTTCTGCGTCACCTACTGTTTGTTGGGCATCACCTACAAAAGGAGGAGGTGGTTTGTCCCAGTGCAGAAGCCCACACAGCAGGACCCAGCAGCATTTTGCCCTTGAGTCAGTCAAGTAGCCAAACAAAGGAGAGTTTAAAAATGAGGAGATTTAATCAGTTTCTTCTACCTATTGTAATTCCTTCATTTGGCAGCAAATGCTTCTCCAAATGAGCAATTATGTGGTAACTCACACATCCATATTAGGGAGGAGAAAAGGAAATCCATGTATAATAAAACTTCTGTGTCTAAAGAAATTTTTTAAAAAAGATATTATTTTATAGCTATCTGGAGATATAAGTAGAATATTGCTGGCCTTCAAATCTATGTACAGATTAGAGCAATGGTGTGGCAGCTTCCCAGATTATGGTAGTGTGGCAGT